TGAAGCATTATAACTTGAAAAGTACTATGAAAAAATATTTCATTATAGCGTTTTGGAAAGCTCTCGACATCAGCTATTAGATTCTTGAATCAAAAATAGGGTGTTCCATTTAAGAAAATCAATGTAACTTTGACCTGACCTTGGCTACACAACCCAAGGTCAAACTGATAGGATCAGTAAATAGATATTTTTAAACCATATAACTTGTCTGAAACACTTTTTTGTAAAACTTATATTTCCCGAGATATTTAGATGTCCCGACCTTTTTGGGACACCCTGTATGTATATATGTATATATGTACACACACGCACACACGCACGCACGCACGTACGTACAATATACATATATAAATCGGGATATACATACATTCATATATTCATATACATATGCATGTGTATAATTCTATTTCATAAAACAATTTAAAATAGCATATATTACTCTAAGAAAGCATTATATATGTATATGAAATATCAAGATATTATTATTGTTTATTTCTGTTATTTTTCTCAATATAATATATATCTTTGACATACCTACACAAAAAAACTAGTATAAAAAAATTATTCTTTTCTTGAAGAATCACTCTATTATCAATAATCATATCTTTGTTATTGTCACATCCTGTATATTTGATTCAGTTCTATATTTAATTTGGTTATATCCAGACATTGCATATTATTTAAGTATGAGTCTGATAAGAAGATTATCACGTTTTTTTCGAAAACGGTTAGAGATAGGGAGAAATCACCTATTATCAAAATTGTACGATAAGTAGGTAGATATATTTTGATGACTTCGAGTTATCTTAAATATCCTTGGTATTTTTACTACCAATAAGGAATATTTTTTTTAATACAAAGGGGTATTTTTTAATCATTTTTTTTTATCAATTATTATTTTTATTGATAGTTCTCAATGAACTGAATATATTTGTAATAGAGTATTTCTTCGAAAATTGAACGATTTTCGAGAGATATAAACTAAAAGAAGTCAGACTAAAAGTTCGAAACAAATTTTTTTATGCTATAAATATTCAAAATATTCACCATGTTAATCTAAACATGCTTGTAGTTTTCGTGGGAAACTTTCTTGGACTTTTTCTAATTCTTGAATCGTTATTTCACACAAAAAATATTTTTTATTTCTACCACTCTGGAAAACATAAAAGAAAAAATAAAAAATATTTTTCGCAAAATAACGATTCAAGAATTAGAAGTCCAAGAAAGCTTCTCACAAAAACTACAAGCATGTTTAGATCAACATAATGAACATTTTGAACATTTATTGCAATAATAAAAAAAATTTGTTTGTCAAACTTTTAGTCTGACTTCTTTCAGTTTATATTCCAAAAAGTTAAATTTTT